CTGCTTTTGTGCGGATGGTCTTTTCCTTAATTCCCAGCCCCACAGTTAGTGAGCTGAGCTTATTGAACTGCTTGCCAATTCTGTTAAGAGCAGATGGAGTGAAACGGGATAAAGGCAATATTTCAGTGCAGCTCCCATGCATTGGCTCCCACTCCCAGATGCCATTATCGACATACGTTTTACAACTCCACATCGCTTGCCATCAGCATGAGAATTATAAAGAGGTTGAGCATACTTGTCTTAAATGTCAGTAATCAATAAGGATGCTCATCTGGCTTAATAAGGATAAATTGGTGCCCTTGAAACAACCATTCCAGCAGTCCAAGTGAACTAAGACTAGTTTCTTGATATTTGTACTAACGCTGGGTGTCTGAGTGCACGTGTGTCTGTCTGCACACATTTTTGTTATGCATTTCTCTGCAGTGTTCATTCCTAGCAGTATGGATTCCTCTTGTGTAATAATGTATTGAATTAGTTCTTTTGAGTGCTCCCTTTTTAATAGCTCATTTCTTCTACTTCGGACTGGCGCTTTTTTATTTTCCCCCTCAAGACTCTTATTACAAACTCTGACTTGCTGAAAAGCTCCCAGTTTCCCCTTCTGAAGCCTGCTGACAAAGCATGCCAGGTGGGATTTTCAGAAGTGCCCACTGTGAGTGGATCATCGCTGCCTCTAAAGCCTGTGATCAAATTCTGTGATCAAAGCCAATGAGCAACTTTAGCTAAGGCAGATAGACCTCTGTGCAACAGACTTAAATTAATCCTGAGTGCTCAGGAAATTCTGACTCTACTCCTGTGGGAAGCAGTTACCATTGTTATAGAAAGCATTAATGTTCTGATCAGAAAAAAAGATGTGTAATGTTTAAGCACAGCTGGCATTAAGATCAGTGGATCCCTGGAGCCTTCAGTTCTGATGCTTTAGTAAATAAAACGGGACATTTAGTAAATAAAACAGGCCAGAAGTCATCCTCTGGTCCTCAGACTAGCTGGCATGTGCAATCTGTGGCCAAATGGCTAAACTCCTGTGTAAATAGCAGTGGCTGCATGCAGCTTTCCTCGTGGGACATGTTCCAGGCATCTTCTGAGAGACTGTTGTCACCAGGCCAAGCAATGGCAGACACCGTGCTAGCACTGTAACTGTACAGGTGATTGGCCATGCTGCACCGATACGCACAACGCTTTTTACTTCATTAGTACAAATATGATGTATTTGTCCAGAATTTTCACTGACCTCCCCAAAATTTTTGTGACTTCAGCTCAATTTCCATTGCAGGGATGTCCTTCATCTAAATTCCATTTCAAAGTTGGCAGGAGCTCTGTAACCTGTCTGGCACACTTGGACAAATATAAGTTTGAGAAAGTGTGGGGGCTGTAGAAAGCATCTGATGTTGCTGAGGCTTGCTGGTAAAATGCTGGGGTGGAAGTCTGCAGCACTACTTTCTGTTTCCTCAGGTGTATAGAAGTCTTCTGTCGGTGAAGTCTGTAAGTAAACTTTCAATGTTAATAGGAGGACATGACAAATTCCGGACCAGTCTCAGTAAAAATGGGAGCTTCTCTGATCCACAATATTCATAAAGCCCTGTTTGCTCCCGTTACCCCAGGAGTTAGTATAAGGCGGCTTAAAGTTTGCTGTGTCTTGCCACTGAGTGCAAGAATGACAGATCCTTTTATTATCTAGGAGCTGGGTCTATGCCAGTTCGTCTCGAGGAAGTGTAGCCTTGCTGTGGAAGTGCAGTGTCCCCGAGACACACTGCTGTGTACTAGTTTCTGTGGGCTGGAACCAGACACCCATGTTTCAATGTTTGCTCATGTAATTTTTAACCTTCTGTTTCTTTCCTTTTCCTGGCAGATTTTTATTGGTGAGATATCCATGTATTTCATAAAGTCAACCCGAGAAACCCTAATTATTCAAGAAAAAACTATTTTGACTGGAGAGTGCTGTTACCTGAACCCACTGCTTCGAAGAATAATACGTTTTATAGGTAAGCATCCTGAGCACTGCAAGTTTAGTCCCTGTTTACACCAAAACAAAATGAAACATCCTAATAGTCTACACCACAAAATTAATTAAGCTGTGAAATCTTTGCAGGCGTCTTCCACCTTAGAGGGATAGTCCCCCTCGGGATTTGCAAGGTACCGTTCAAAATGTGCCATATCATGCTGTCTGGAGCTGGTTTATAGTCTATTCTGCTGAGCTTAATGCTTCTTCTGGACCCTTGAAGAAAGGTTATGCCAATCAAATCCTTATATGAATAATTTCGTCATTGCTATTCTGTGTAAGCTACCCATTTTACTTACAAATTGGTCTTCACCAGCCCATCTCTTTGGCATTTTTCTTTTCAGCTCTAATTTTAACATCCATAGCTCTGCCACATAATGTTCAGCTGAGCACAGTGTAAAAAAGCTCAGAGCCCACTTCAAAGTAGCGTTCTTATTTTTATTGTATTTGGTTTTTTTGTTAGAGATTTCGTTGAGTTAATCGCTGAGAAATGAATGAAGAAGTTCTGTCACTAGACTGTTCAGAGGTTGCTTTATATGGTGCTTGCAATCTGCTATGCCTTTTTCACATTGTTGATTAGTGGAAAAAATGCCTGCAAGACCTTGCTGAGGGGACCATCCCATGGTTCTTTCGAAGCTGGAAAAGGAAGAGCATTGCAACTTGCGTTTCTGCTGTGGCACTGGCAGAGAATCTGGTTGTCCTCTGAAGGCTTCCCAATTCACAGCCATTTAAGGCTGCCCAAACCGCACCCCTCCGTGTTTGGAGATAAGGAGGGCTGGTTGCTCACTTCCTACTTCCTTGTAGCAGCAGAGCAAGAAGAGGGCAGCTGCGAACTGCACATGCAAGGGCTCTAGTTGCCCTCCCTACTCATTCATGAGAAGTTCTTGCATAGGATGGGACGGTTTGTCTCGCTGCTGGCATGGGCCAGTGGTAAGTATGGCTCCCCACTGACCAAGAGGGGCTTTGCCCACAGAACATCACAGCGCCTCCCTCCCTGTATACTCACAGAGGTAAATCATCCTTACACACTGCATCTTACAGAGACCTGGGTCTGAATTCACAGTCCGAGTTAGAAGAAGCAACGGAACAAAAAGCTGAAAGTATCTATTGCTTCTTCCCTGTCACTGCTGAATTTTTGAGATTTATCTGGAAGAAAAATGCCTGCAGTGGCTGTGGCAATAGTTGCATTGCTTCCATGGAGCACGACCCTGGCTGCAGGCAGGGATACTTGATCAGAGCATGGAGTTGAAAGTCTTGTGTTGTGCTCAGGTTTTCATCATCAGCAAATATATGCTGCAAAGGAGGAAGAGCCATGGTCTTCCTTCTACCTGTGCACAGAAAGACTGTGCCTCCCGCTTTATGCATAGAAGTTAAGAGGTGAAATGGTTTTTTACCTTCTCCCACACTGGGGGTGAAGACAAACCACCAGTGGTTCATCACCCAGTCCTGCGTGCTGCTGATGAAAACAAAAGACATGGGAATGTAGTTAAAAGTAAAATACCCTTGAACTTCAGATAACCTCTAGCATATATTGATGAATAGTAAACTGCCATTAAGAGAGAAACAGGGTATGGGAGTCCACTAGACCACTCAGGGCTGTTTGACTGTTTCAGCACATTCAGCACGTTGCAAAGTCCTAATCAAATACTCTTGCCTGCGGGGACAGCACTAAAAGAGCTTAGACCATGGAGGTTAAGCACTTGCTCTGCATGTTTTCTTATGGTTAGCTTTATTCTTAAACATTCATGTGTTGTTTCTCTTTTGGTGGAAGAGGAGGGGGTAGCGATGATGGCGGTAGACTCTCAGAGAGTAGTGGGATATAAACCCTGCTAGAGAAATCAATCTTGGCTTTGCAGCTTTATTTGTCTTCCCGAGAAAAAGAAAGTTAACGTTATTAGGAATGGCTTAAAATGTTGGTCTCATCTTAAACTACACTGATTGTTTGCTTGTTTTCTTCTGAAGCCTTCTCCCTACCTCTGCAGTAAAATGAGAGAAGTAGCTTGTTTAAAAGTGGCTGAAATAATTTATGAAAGGAACTGAAAATTACTTCACATTTTTCACTGAAATTCCCCCTGCACTTTGCAAACATGACATGGACTTAACAGCTGCAGCCCCTGGTGGATGATAGGGAAGTTAGCTCCATACAGCTGCTTACTCCAAAAACAACCTACCTGGATGTTCTGGAGAGGCTACCAGCTTGCTCATACATTGATTTGCTTGTGTGTGTCTTCTCTTGCTAAGCTTGAAGTAGGTTATCTTCCAAGATACTGTAGCGAGCAGTCTAGCTTGTTGCAAAGAAGTTTGCTGCCAAATTAGCCTTGGTATAAATTCATTGGAATATCCACATCGAATGATTTCTTTTGGCCCAGATGTGTGAGCAACAGTCTTAAGTAGGTACCTGCAAAAAGCAGTAATTGAACTCCTTGGAATATTGCCTTTTAAGTCATTACATTAATATTACTCAAAAGGATGAGAAAAAATCCTTCACTGTATCTGAGTGCTCACACATCAGGCCAAATGAACACTACTTTGCGACCCTGCAAGGCACGTCACGGAGATCTTTTGAGAGTTGGCATTCCCAGATTTTAGAAAGGCAAAGAGCCTTTTTCTTCCTCTCTGACTCTGCAACTAGAATTGCTGTGAAGAGATGGGGTTTTAAGAATAGTAGCCTAAATGTGCTTCACACAAAACAAGGAGAAAGTTATAGATACTTCACTGAACATTCACTTACATTTTGTAGTGAAAAAGAAACAGAAAGGCAAACTCTGGACTATCTTTTGGTGACGTAAAAGATAAGCACCCTTGTCATGCTGTCTCCATGGGATCTTTTGGATTTGGTTACTGGACTTGAGCCTTTCCCCCTGTTGCTTTTTCTTCATGTATACAGAATGAAGCACTTTTTTGCACTCTGATAGTGGTGTAAAGAACTAAGCAAAACCAAAAAACCAGCAACTCTTCTGGGATGTTGGCAAAGTCCCATGTTTTTTTTCCTGGATTTTTCTTATCTTGCTTACTATACTCTCCGCCTATTCTCTCCTTGTTCTCCTCAAAACTGTCTCTAAGATTCCCCCTCCTCTCCTTTGTCTTAAATCTCTCCGTGGTTCTTTGTCCATAGGAAGTAGAACCAACATTCATCTTGCTTCCTGGCCCAGGCATGAATTCCGCATGTTGACTGACATTTACTTTTCTGGCAAAAGGCTGTCTCTCAACTTGTACATCCTTTACTGCACCCTAGACAGGTGAAACCTACTATGTTCCCTGTATTTAGAAAATCAATTCCTTTATCAGTGAAAAAAAAAGCTGGCTTAGCTTGGAAACATCAGGCTTTGATATATGTTGCAATTTGTTCCACCTTCCTCTTTTATCTTTTATAGCTACTTCCACAGACATTTATTTTGAAGATTTTTCAGGTCCAACAAGTGGTGTGCAATTGCTTTAGAGTGTTTTTTTCTGCCTAAAATATTGGTGCTTCACTGCTATTTTTCAGTCACATCATCTCTTCTCCTTCCTTTCCCCACCCTTCCCAGCAGTTTTATTATGAATTTCTGCTGCCAAAATTCACATTTACGTGCTGGACCTTTTGAGAAACCAGGGGGTAAGAGTGGTTGTTTCTTGGGTCTCTGCCTCTTCTCCCTGTCTCCCAGCAGGAGTACACACAGCCTCTTGTATTTTTGTTCGCCCTGATTTGTGGTAATCTCCCACTCAGTACTTTGTTATCATCTTGTATGTTCTACTTCATCATTTGTATGGCCAATAGAGGTTATAGCTTGTTTTAGCATTATTTAGTGAATGGTTTCAGTCAAGGATTTAGTCTGTTCCTATACAGCTGCTATCATCCCCCCAGGATTGTGCATTCAGACCTCCCTGGCTCAGCCTGGCAGGGTGACCAGGGTGTGTATTTTGTTGCATTTCATTCTGTTTGGTTTCTAATCCGTGTGGTTAAGTTGTATACCTTGCAAAGCCCTGATAACATGCAAGTCACCTCTCTCCAGTGCAGGTATTTAGAAATGCAACGTGCTTTACAAATTTTGTTACCACCGGCTTTTACTTTGGACTTGTATAATTTGCAGTTAACAAATGGTGCAGACCAGCTTCTGCTGACAGCTTAATTTAAAGCATGGTGACACCTCACAGTGGGCAGCTAAATAATGAAATTAGGGCTTTATTTCAGCAAATTACGGCTTTAGTTCTGCAAATAAAGTTTTACAAGATTTATACACACGTTGGGTTTATTGTAATCGGATAGATATACCACAGAGCTCTGATGTCAATTCCCCAGGCAGCTGCAGGACAGTTTGCCTGACCTTATCCTTCTGTCTTCCATGGATCTGAAGTTCACTACGAAACAATGCATGTTCTGTTATTAACCAGCTGCCTTTCAGCAGGGCTCAAGCTGTGTTTGGGTATGCTGCCTCTAACCTAAACTGCTGCAGCAGCTTAGACTACTGTAAGTCTCCCTTCTTATCGCTGAAGAACCTCTGCAGTGAGAAACAGGTCACTCTGTTGGGGACAAATCAAACCTTACTGTTCCTTTTATGCCAGGCTCTGAGCTGGCTGTCATATAGATGAAAACTGTTAGTTGTGAAGCAGCGAGGAAGGCAGAAATCCTGTGTGCCCGTGGGGAGGAGTCTTGAGGCTCCGGACCACTTTTGCAGTGGGAACTGAATTTCTTCCTGCATGCTCAGACCACACACGTGTAATCCTTCTTGCACCCTGAGGGAGCAGTATCCAGGCAGGACCCTCCCAGGTGAAGCAGGCAGACTCAAGAAGCAGTGGATGCCCGGAGCAGTGAGCTCTGTTAGGTCGTCACTGGGAGTCAGTGCCAGTCCTGGGATCAGAATATGAGCGCTCAGTAGCAGCTTGCTGTTGAGCCTGTTCCTGATGCCATGGCAACAAACAATAAATTTCCCTGCAACCCCCATCTCTCCAGTTGTAAAATGGATTAATGATGCAGATCTTCTTTAACAACACCCTTTAAGATAT